GTGTGTGTGTGTGTGTTCAGTAATAAATCACAGTTAAAATTTTGGCTGATACCAAAGACCAATCATAATTTCAAAAGTACAAAAGACACTGAAAATTAAATAATTAAAATTAAATTTAGGCAACACATGCAACATTAAAGGGAAAGGTCAATGGGAACCAAAACGGTTTGGTTATTCTTCAAAATATCTTCTTTTGTGCTCAGGAATGATGCTGAAAATTCAGCTTTGCATCACAGGAATAAATTAGATTTTAATGTATATTAAAATAGAAAAACGTTATTTTACATAATATTTCACAATATAAAATTTTGGTTATTCTTCAAAATATCTTCTTTTGTGCTCAGGAGTAGAAATGTATACAGGATTGGAATAGCATAAGGGTGATGGGAGTAGCATGTCAATTTTCATTGACAGATAGAATGATAGAATTTCCATTTTTAGTTTATCCCTTTAACGTACTGTACGAACTATGTGTAACAAAGAAATTTGAGATCTTCTAAAAAACATCCTTATTATAATGGTGGGACTTAGCACCACATCATTACATACAAATTAAGAAACATGCACCCTGAAATAAATTTCCAACATCGGCCACTGGTCCCAATGTATTCCCAATATCATCCGTGATAAAAATTATAATAATGATATAATGGATTGGATATGTCTACCATGTGCATCTTATAAAATGACACCTGAAAAGACAGAAAACATTTGTTTTCGGAAAAGAAAAAAAAAAGTCAAAAAGAAAATGAAAGTAGAGGAGAATAAGAAAAAGCAGAGTGAAAGATGAGACAGACAACAAACATAAAGCATAGTGAGAGAGATAAGAAGAGGGTGCGAGAAAGCGTGCTTATCAGTTAACCAGCAGAAGGTCTGCTGATGACTGACAGCAATGACACGACTGAGTGAGCCAAAATCAATCTCAGTACTCTCAGATAAGACTAAACTAAACAACGCTCCCTTGAATGCTTAAAGCCACTAGTCTCTAAAACCCTCAGCAAAGACTGGAGTCCCCTCAAAGCCTCTCAGCATAACCAGAGAATAGAGCTACCCAAAAATGAAAATTCATGATTTGCTCAAGTAATTGATAGCAGTATGTCCAAGCAGCTGCTCCTTTCAATGCAATAAAAGTGAATGGCGACTTAAAGATGTTAAAGGCTTTATTTCAGTCTTTTCCTTATACAAAGCTATTGAATGTGTTGGAATATATAGCAGAGTATTGATGCTTTTTTGGTCAATTTTGGAGCTTGACAGCTAGTGTTCGTCTGCTTTAATTGTATGGAAAAGAGCAGCATAAACATTGCTAAATTTCTCTTCAAGTGTTCCAAGAAAGAACATCATATAGGCTTGGTATGACATGAGTAGACGTCATGATAAAAATCTTTTATTTATAGGAAAATAAACGGCTCATAAAATGATTAGGACACATTCTGAATCTGTACTGTATAAACACCATGAGGCATCAGTTTATTTTATCATAACTCTCACTCAGCAGAGATACAAAACTCCCAAACATTCCCAAATCATGTTCCTGTTAGCGGTCTAATTCAATCTTCCCAAATACAGTTGGAGATTATTATATGTGACCCTGGACCACAAAACCAGTCTTAAGTCGCTGGGGTATATATGTAGCAATAGCCAAAAATACATTGCATGGGTCAAAATTATTGATTTTTCTTTTATGCCAAAAATCATTAGGACATTAAGTAAAGATCATGTTCCATAAAGATATTTGGGAAATTTCCTACTGTAAATATATCAAAACTTAATTGTTGATTAGTAATATGCATTGCTAAGAACTTCATTTGGACAACTTTAAAGGCGATTTTCTTAATATTTAGATTTTTTTGCACCCTCAGATTCCAGTTTTTAAATAGTTGTATCTCGGCCAAATATTGTCCTATCATAACAAACCATACATCAATGAAAAGCTTATTTATTCAGCTTTGATACGCTGTATAAATCCCAATTTCAAAAAATTGACCCTTATGACTGGTTTTGTGGTCCAGAGTCACATATGAGAATGTAGCCGTGTTCTATCTGCAGTGAGTTACATAATCAAAGCGTAAAGGTTACATACATGTGAGCATTTTCAAGGGTCAAACCAGTCAATGTTATGCGTGTATTCTAAAGGTCATTTTGTACTGGTTCGCCACATTTCTCAAGAACCGTCTCATTAAAGGGCCGATGCACTGTTATATCACAATATGACCTAAATGACACTAACCTCCTGATTTGACATTGTAAATCAGGAGAGGGTGAAAGTAAACATTTCTAACTCCAAAGTAAATGCCAACGAGGAACAAATGGCACATATTATATTACTTTGTAATCTAGGTGTTATCAGGTCGTGATAAGCTGCATATGAAGTCGTACTACTCTTTAATACTTACTGAACTTACCAGTGGCAATAAATCCTCTTACCTTTGATGCAGTAAGACATAACAGAGAATGATAGGTTTGTAACACCTATTTGAACACCCAGGATTTTCTTGTTCTACAAGTTTCACATTGTTCATTCAATTCCCTGGGATGGGAATTTACATGGTATGCCTTTGCAGCCTCCAATTTAGGGTTAGCTTATAACTTAAGGCTGGTTATGCTGACTGATGTACAAATGTGAATACACAGCTTAGCACAGGGTTAAAAGTGGCCTTTAAATGGGGATAAAGTAGATTATGCAGGATTAAACTCAGGATGAAAATCTCTGAATTTAATTCATGAACTCAGAAAGTGCACAGAATATAGGCCATTGTTTCGAGGTATTTTAACACCCACACAGGAAAGGATTTAAACAGATGAAAAGATTACAGAGCCAGATCTTGAAAATCCACTTAAATAGGCGTCTGTGCATACCAGTTAACCTATTCATCTGAAAATGCCCTAAAAATAACGAAAACCTCTTCAACTGGTGAGGATGGTGCTGTGCTTACAAACAAAAAGAGCAATAAGTAGACCTAAAAATGCCTTAATTAAAATGGAAAAATGCCTGAAGGTGTCTGCATGATATGAAAGCATGTTTCTGCTTCAGAATAAAAAATAAAGTAACGGTTACATTATTGATATATATTTACACTTTTTTTTTTTTATTATTGAATTCCAAGAATACAAAAAATTCAGTAGGTTCTCAATATATATTTAACAAACTTTGTAAATGCGAATAAGGACACATAAGGAAGAATGTAATTAAAACTAAATTAAATATATTAAAACTATTAAAAAAAATGTTTTAATTTAAATTGGACAACCTTACTGCCCAGCCACATCTCATCAAGGATGAGATGTCATTATGAGAGGGAGGGGACTTTAATATTTTTATTAAAAATTGTGAGTGCAAGTGAATAAAATAATAATGATATGATAAATACTGAAATATACCCTAAAGAAATAAGTAAAGGAAAAGGAAAGGATTTGAGGTGTGGCCAAGTATGGTGTCCCATACTTGGAATTTGTGCTCTGAATTTAACCCATCCATCTGCACACACACAGCAGTGAGTAATGAACAAACACACACACACACACACATCGTGAACACACACCTGGAGCAGTGCTGCGGTGCCTGGGGAGCAGATGGGGGTTTCACTTCAGTCCTAGTATTAGATATTCCACTTGTTTAGATATTTTGTTCAATAATGAAGAGTTTTTCATCAGAACTGACTTCACTTTTATAAACAGTTTTGCATTACTCTAATCAAACTATCAAAGTGACTTTTAGAGTATGTTTTGCTTGAAAACTGTGCTTGTGCTGTCTTCAAAAATAAATGGCCATTTAAAAAAAAAAACTTTTTTCCCTAATGTAATGAAACTCGTACATTAAGTGTCAAAACATTTCTGGGGACACTGTACAAGTTTGCTATGTAGAAAGTCACTCATCACTATGTACTAAATGTCATGCATGCATTGAATGGTGTGATGTTCTTACCTCCCATCGACCGTAGGTCAGCAGGAACAGGCTCAAGGGTATGGCGGTACCGGACATGGCATGCGTGGAGGGCATGCTGTACTCAGAGTTGTAGAACATCTCCACCTTGACCACCGGGGGCGAGGCAGGTCTCGGCCAGCGGATCACATCTTTCGTGCACTGGCCGAGATACATGACCCACACCCAGACGACGACTAACCGGCGGCTCACATACGCGTCCACGTTCCACATGAAGAACGGGAAGAATGAAATGTAGAACAGCTCGTTCCCTAGCTCGGTACCAAGCGTGAACAGGTAGTAAAGAAACGTATTGTCGATTTTGAACTCCTGCCCGACGTCTCCGGTGAGAGAGTTTCTGCGCAACGGCTTTACCGCGGATTCTTGAGCCTCGACCCTGTCTTTATCCCGCGCCTGCCTGTTGACGTTTTCTCCCGCAGCCCCGTTCGCCACGCCGTTATTGCGTTTCTCCCTGTCGCTCTCTACTCCCGCTGTTCTACGGCGGGTGGCATCCCCTCCTCCGTTCTGAACATCCCCATGGCGAGTGCTTGGCACCCCGTTACAGAGTCTGTCACGCGGTTCGGTCCCGCACACCCCGCACAACCGTTGGAAGCGCGCGACGTGCTGAGGGTCCTGCAAATATTGCATGAGACGAACGAATCCCACTTTCAACCCGCCTGCCATGTCCAGCGACAAACTGCGCAAGTTGAATCCGCCCGGTAAGACCAGGAGAAGCTTGAGCTACTGACTGAGAATGAACCGTGCTGTGGGTTATTAAACCACTTCCTCCATTGCTGTGCTTATAATAACAAAACACCCATTCTAACCAAGACAAATAGACTTATAACAGCTGTTAATGTTATTGCTGGACATATGAAGAGAAACTGAACCCAAAAAAACTACTTGCAACGATTTACAAACCTCCCCCCACGCCGTATCCGGTGTTGTGTAATATTCAGTTCCTGTAAAAAAAACTGTTCCAGTGGGTGGAGTAAACATGAATATTCATGAGTTCTCATATTGTGGGCGTGTCCTTGAGACAACGCGCAAACGAATGGAACTGAAAATATTAGTGCACGCTCTTCAAATCGCAATTTGTTTATTGGATTATTGCGAAAAGGTAACGAAGTTTCCATGTGAAGAATTAACTGCAACAGTTTCAAAACAATGCATAAGTTTGTGTTATATGATAAATCGTCTGAGCTGTTCTGCCTGAATGATTACAGGCACACAGCAGAGCAAGCAAGCGAATAACCTGTGCTTAACCAGGCTAATATAGTTTACTCTTTGCTGTGCTAAGCTTTTTATTTCATTTGTGAGACTAATTTGATAATTTGATTAGTAGCCTACCTAGTTGTCATTGGTGACTAGTACTGCAGTGTGCTTACAGCCAGAGGCGGACAGTAACTAAGTACATTTACGTAAAAATCTGTCTTTACAACTTTTACTTGTAATGGAGTAATATTTGACAAGCAGTATCTGTACTTTCACTCAAGTAATGGAGTTGAGTACTTTGTCTGCCTCTGCTTACAGCAGTGCTTGAAATAAACCTCTACAAATGTATCTGTGGCCTAATGAAATGTATGTAAGTTAGTCTGTTGGAGTATCCAGTGTCATTCTTAATTTCTTGTTTATTTTGTATATAGCCAGTATTTCTGTTACCTATATAAGCTACATACCTAGCTTTTTTTGTAGTTAAAATGCTAATCATTATAACAAACATTGCAGTTTGTAATTGATTAAATAATACAGTGCATAAACCTTTAAAGCACTGTTATGATGTCTTCTTGGACATAGGTCAGCAGCTACTCCAAGAATATTATTTTATTTTTATTTTAAGAAATCATACATAGGCCTATGTCATCATCACCAATGTCATAATATGGCTTTGTTTTGCTTTTGTGATGTTTCCACATATATTGATCTTCGTGTAAAGTCACTGGTTCAGATGTGAGAGTCACTGGTAGCCGATCTCTGTTTGAACTGGACATACATTAATAATTATCTCAGACTCCAGACACTCACTTAATTTTGCATTGCTTTATTCCATATACACCTATTGTTTTGAAAGTTTCCTCGTCTTTTCAATTTGAGTTATATTCATAAAGCAATTACTTCCAGTACTTTTAGTAACATTTAATGAATGTAACTAATATTTATATAAGCTACTACAATATAATTTTTATGTTTTTAATTTGCTATAAAGAGTCAAAATAAAAGACTTACTAAAACAGATAACATTTTATTTGTTAACCTGCATGTCATGTTTCTATTAACCGACATCAGAGAACTGTGAACATGAAAGGGTGTTCTCAAAGTACTGAAATATATACTAACTTTAATTATTCTCAGAAGATATTCATCTCAGGAGGAGTTAGGAGAACAGAGTTTGGCTAAAATGTTTGGGAATCCCTGTCCAACAGTGTTGAAGAGCAGAAATGGTTTCATTGTGTGTATGTATATATGTATACAGTAGTCAACATTTGAAGTGGATCAAAAAAGTTAAAGGGGTCATATGATGCGATTTCAATTTTTCCTTTCTCTTTGGAGTGTTACAAGCTCTTGGTGCATAAAGAAGATCTGTAAATTCGCAAAGACTAAAGTCTCAAATCCAAAGAGATATTCTTTATAAAAGTTTAGAGTCAGCCACGCCTACCTAAAATGGCTCGTTCTAACACGCCCCCACATGTCTACCTCACTATGTGGGAAGATTTTCATAATACTGCCCAAATGTTCACGCAAAGAAAGAAGACGTAACTTTTATTCTCGCTGTAGTATTGTTGCCGCTGCCGCCATATCCTGAAGACGCTGTGTGTTTCGTTGTGAAAGTGAAACTACTTTGTTTGGTCTTCCAAAAGAGGACGATATCCGCTTCGTCATGCCTAGAGCTGATCCGTGTTGGTCACTGAGGGAATACATCAACTTCGCGCTGTGGCTCGCCGGCACATTTTATGGAGGACTGTTTACTGATCCAGGGACGTTAGACTACAATGCCGGCAGTTCTGACTCACATAAGTACGTTTTCATTTAAATTTGTAGTTTTGTTCCCACTGCCGCCATATCCTGAAGACGCTGTGTGTTTCGTTGTGAAAGTGAAACTACTTTGTTTGGTCTTCCAAAAGAGGACGATATCCGCTTCGTCATGCCTAGAGCTGATCCGTGTTGGTCACTGAGGGAATACATCAACTTCGCGCTGTGGCTCGCCGGCACATTTTATGGAGGACTGTTTACTGATCCAGGGACGTTAGACTACAATGCCGGCAGTTCTGACTCACATGGCTAAAATGTTTGGGAATCCCTGTCCAACAGTGTTGAAGAGCAGAAATGGTTTCATTGTGTGTATGTATATATGTATACAGTAGTCAACATTTGAAGTGGATCAAAAAAGTTAAAGGGGTCATATGATGCGATTTCAATTTTTCCTTTCTCTTTGGAGTGTTACAAGCTCTTGGTGCATAAAGAAGATCTGTAAATTCGCAAAGACTAAAGTCTCAAATCCAAAGAGATATTCTTTATAAAAGTTTAGAGTCAGCCACGCCTACCTAAAACGGCTCGTTCTAACACGCCCCCACATGTCTACCTCACTATGTGGGAAGATTTTCATAATACCGCCCAAATGTTCACGCAAAGAAAGAAGACATAACTTTTATTCTCGCTGTAGTATTGTTGCCGCTGCCGCCATATCCTGAAGACGCTGTGTGTTTCGTTGTGAAAGTGAAACTACTTTGTTTGGTCTTCCAAAAGAGGACGATATCCGCTTCGTCATGCCTAGAGCTGATCCGTGTTGGTCACTGAGGGAATACATCAACTTCGCGCTGTGGCTCGCCGGCACATTTTATGGAGGACTGTTTACTGATCCAGGGACGTTAGACTACAATGCCGGCAGTTCTGACTCACATAAGTACGTTTTCATTTAAAGGATTTGCCACTGATGATTCAAACACGAGTTTTGGGCAGTGTGGAGTAGCACTTGTTGTTTGTCATTTCTCTGATCACAAATGCAGACAGGGTTTTATGTTTAGGTGGCGCGATGCAACGCAACGCGTAAAAAGACAGTATAAGCCATTATAATCAGTAATTATGTCCCCACTGGATGCAACAAATGCCTCGTTTGTAATGGGTTTTAATGTTTTTGTGTCGTCGCTCCGGCTGGGACACGGCATCACAGTATGGTGAGGGGCGTAACATTTCCGTCTCACGCTTAAGTTATTCGGCCAATCACAACGCACTGCATAGCTGGCCAATCACAGCACACCTCGCTTTTTCAGAACGATGAGCTTTGTAAAAATTGATGCATTTCAAAAAGACGGGGCATAGAGGAGAAACAATAAATGTACAGTATGTGGAAAATAATGTTTTTTTTACTTTAAACTGCATAAACACATTTCATTACACCAAATACACAAAATAATGTTCTTTTTAGCAGCATCATATGACCCCTTTAATCAAAGTTGTCCTAAGACAAGAACACATTTTGGTTTTAAGTTTTAGGACAACTTTGATGAAAGGTTTTGATCCACTTCAAATGTTGACTAGTGTATACTTGAAATATATTTTTCAAGTATGTATATACTTGAAAAATGAGAAAAACACTTTTGAATAAGATTTTAAGATGTTAAGCATGATTAACACAACACTGTGGATCATGACATTTCGGTTGCTTTCACACACCATTCTTAAACATGACATGAAAGTAGGTTGTTTTTCAGTGCAACATATGGTCAAAGAACAGACACATTTTAAAGGCACAGTTCATTCAAAAATAAAAATTCACTCACTCTCCTGTTGTTTCAAGGTTGTATGACTCATTCTTCTGTAGAAGACAGTTTGAGAAATAATGACAGAGTTGTCATTTTTGGGTGCACTTATACCTTTAATCTATTAGTGCTTGGAGATTGGTGATTCCCAAACAGGTGAATGTGGAAAGATTTTGATGTTTTTTTTAATAAATAAAAAAACTTAAATATTAATAATAAAAAAGAAATATCTGACATTTGCACATTAAATGCACATTTACTTGTAAGACATTAATAATTCCACATGATATCCATATAATATGAAGAAAAAAAGAACCTGATACTCACACCAGTTTTGCTTATATACATTTTATTAGGCCACAGATACATCTGTAGAGGTTTATTTCAAGCACTGCTGTAAGCACACTGCAGTACTAGTCACCAATGACAACTAGGTAGGCTACTAATCAAACTATTCAATCAAAATGTAGTCTCACAAATGAAATAAAAAGCTTAGCACAGCAAAGAGTGAACTATATTAGCCTGGTTAAGCACAGGTTATTCGCTTGCTTGCTCTGCTGTGTGCCTGTAATCATTCAGGAAAAACAGCTCAGACGATTTATCATATAACCAGTGGTGGCTCGTGGGTTTTAAAATAGAGGAGGCACACTAATTGTATTGGTCTGGGATCCCTGCCGATTATTATTATTATTATTATTATTTGCTTAACCACTTTAAAATGGCTTTTTGGTTGCTTTTAGTCAGAAAACGTAAAGAAAACGACATACATACAGCAAGATAATATAATTTCACTTACCTGGACTATCACTTGAAGCAAACACCCATCCCTTCTTAAAAGTCTGTGTTAAAAGAGAGCTGCCTGTTGCGCCATTTAATTAAGCAGACTGCTGTAGCCTATATCCAGCTTAGGCTGGTTTCCCTTTTTTAAATTTGCATATATACTGTTTGAATGACAGCTTGGTAAATCTGTTGGCGATCAAATATTCAATATCGCTACTCATCATAAGTACTTGGTACATTATCAGCGCAGCAGGAGACGTTCAAACTAATATCACGTAAGTTACGTCTCTAATGATTGGTTGATATCAGAAGGAGGCTAGCCTCCCTTGCAAGGTTTCTTTTCTCAACACTCCTCAACGCTGAAAGTGAGCACTCGATGGTGATTGGCTAATTTGTTTTTACCAAC